AACCGCATTATCCTCATTCTCATTAGCAACAACCTTAAGAGAATCAGTAGTAACACTATTAACTTTAGATACTTCCTATTCTTGACATTGATGTAATATAACCGGAGTAGCCATAACAGGAATAGCTCCAGGATTCACTTCCAAACGAGAAGAACGATCACCAATATGCTCAATCGAATCCTCCTTCTCCTTTTCAGCCCAACAAACCTTATTAGACTGTTTAACATATTTATTATCAACTCGCAAATTGGGATATTTTTTAAAGCATTCATTCACCGCATGACCATGCATTTTGCAAAAAGAACAAAAGATAGGTAAATTTTCCAACTCAACTTTTTTAAAATAGCCTTTAACTTCAGAACCTATCCAAATTTCATTAGGGTATTTTTTAGAAACATCAAGTTCTATTAGAACCCTAGCAACGGATGGTCGAGAAACCGAAGTAGTTGCTTAGTCAGTTGTAGGGGGCGGCCAAAGATCGAAGCCAAACCAAATAAAATTTGCTGGTTAAAAAAGTGAAGTCTCAAATTAGAAAAAGCCAACCAAACCGGAGCTATCGGGGATTCCTCCCTAACATCAAATTCCGGAGTCCACTTCAACAACCTCATTTGACAAGCTTGAATATAATACGATCTACGAGCAAAAATTCGGCTATAGTTTAGATCATTAGCAAGTTGAATGGCAATATGCCTTTGATCAAGTAATCCAACATGAAAAGAACCGGTAAGTTTGAGATTCACAAAAACTTACGAATCACATCGAGATTAGGCCCCCTTAAAATAAATTTGCCAACTAAAGTAAAAGCAAAAGGGGCAGCGAGCTGTTCAACAACGTTATCCTCAAAAAGCAGAGCCGAAACACCCTTATACGAAGAATGAACGAAACTTAGTTTCGGAGAGGAAGGAGAGCCACCAACGAGGGCCTCCTTAAAAGACTGAGTTTTCCCTTCCATAATCGAAGGTTTAGGGTGTGATGATGATGGAACCGTCATCATCCCACACTAAAGAACTCAAAAACACCCCAAAATGAGATAAGAGAAGGATCTATAAACGAATATCTAAAGATGGGAAACGAAATCACCGAAAAAAACCAGCCAGAAGGACCAGATGCGCGGACATCAGCAAACCCTAGAAATCGCCCTGGAATTGCCTCGGGAGAGCTGAGAGCTATAGCCGTTCTGATGAATGCTGAATTGTTATTTTATCTTATCATATCATACATTGCCACACATGCGTATTTTAAGGCTAAATTCTTTCTATATTAATTAACCTAAAATAAATAAAAATATTTATATTAATTAATGATACACTTGTGAATAATGTTGGAATACTTCTTGCAAGATAAAATAATTTTAATCCTACATTATTATAGGAATATTTCATTATTTTTTAATGTAACTAGTCTATAAAGTTTAAATTTATTTATGATCAGATTAATTTTGAAAATTTTTATTTAGTTGGGCACTCTTTAATGGCCTAATAACACATTAAATTTTTTGAAATTTTTTATTTTTTTATTCAAAACTAAACTCCCTACAAAATAATTTCCCTAAAATAAAATCTCTATTTATGTTAAACTTTGACCTCTCCTCCTTAAAGGGATTAAGAATATTTTTTTAAATTTTAGTACTGGAATACATTTCAAATCAAACCTACAAATTTACCACAAAATATCATAATTTAGTTTGATTGAATCGGTGATCAAATCTTTTTAAATTTTGGTTCAAAATACTTAAAAATGGCTTAGCCAAATTGCCGTGCGCTCCAATTTTTTTAATCCTCACGATCTTGTTCCAATGGTTAGTTCATTCACCTCTGGGATTGATGATGTGATAATTAAATCTAACGGTTAAGATTCCATTAGGTCTTGGAAAAAATCCTCTTGCATAAATACAAACCAAATTCCGTACCAAATAAGCTCTCTTGGGCAAAATTTACAAGATTTCTTTCCTATTTTTAGTGCCTTTGTGTAGGTTGATCTAAGTATTCTAAAATTGGTTATTAGTTTAAATTATTGCCTAAATAATCTCCCTCCAACCCCCTATTTATCTGGCCAAAGTTTTCCTGATAAATAAGGGGGTTAGTTATGTGTGTGTGCTTGCTCCTTACCACGTTGACACTCAGTCGAAATTTCATCTCACTTACTAAATGATGCAGGACTACATGCATGATTTAGGAATTTGCACAAAATATTTAAAGATCAATTTCAGTTTTTGTTATTAGTGATTAAAACCACAAAATAAAAATAATAAACGGTCACTTTCGCTTAGGCCAAACTACACAAAATGCTAAATGGAATCAAAACACGTAGGAAAGTTAAAGTAATGCAAGTAGGATAGTATTCAACATAATCCTAGTTTAACAACGAGATCCAAAAGCCAAGAAGTAGCAAATCCTACGAGCACTTGTGAATGGCAACAAAGGGACACAATCTCTCGCTTTGAACAAATTCTCATGAAGAATTCGGAATTCAAAAGTAAAAGAATCAAGAAGGAGAAAGAATCACCTTCACGGAGAGACGTCGTAGAAATCCCACGTACCTTCCGAAATTGTCCGTCCAAGGTTAGATGAATCCTTCTCAAAGAAACGTCGTGATGAGCAAGGTTAACTC